CTTGATGACTGCTTGGTTTCGAATTCCAAATACATTACGTTCAGAAGCGCTCATTGGGTCCTACCTACCTTAATTTGCACTGTTTTGGAAATTCTTAGCTGAGACAATAATTCGAATACTTCTAATTATCATAGATATCTTTCGGACAATTTCATCCTCCACCACCTTCGACAGAATCTTATTCCCTCTGCCAGGTCAGTCTTTTGAGATCTGCTCTGACATCTCGAAGATCAGCTATGAGCAAGCCTTAGGATTGGTCACGGAAACTAGGTTACGGAGAGGAGGGATGGTAGGATGACTCTGTTGCTATGATCCAACTAGTTTAATACTAGTTAGTCAGTGAATTTCAATACATAACTGGCGAAGATACAATCCCGATACATGTCCATCAGGTCCTCATGGAGTACATCAAGTAACATCTAATAATCTGAATTATCCTACCAAGTCTCTAATGTACAAAACCACTTTAAAACCATAGCCTAGTTAGAAGTAATTTTAAATGTTGAAATCACCAATCAATAACATCTCAGAAAATCTTAATTTTTTAGGGTTCTTCATACCTCTTGGAAAAATGAACTGTTTAGAGCAGCCAAGACTATGGGTGATGTATAAAATACTCTACAAGGCAAAAGACACGGATTCCACCCACACTGAAAAACAAAACATCCTGAGGACTTATTATGGAAGATGAAATTTCTAGATCTCTGACGGATTCAAATATATAGAGTATGACTCTATCACCAACAATTTCAGCTCTATCATCATAAAACAGCCAAAGGTTGTTTTTGGACATGTTCCCTATCACTGATATCACTGGTAGTTTCACAGGAGGCCGTCATACTTTAGTCTCTTCCGTTTGTAAAGTGTGATCCGTAATCGAAATCATCAATGATAAGATGAAACGCTTACTACCATATATACTCCTCTCGACCTTGCTAATTCACTAATCACAATTTTATTTTTATCACAAGACAATTTTCGTTTTGTTGACTCATTTTTCCAATCATCTAGTTACTGTTCGGTATGTTGTTCATGTCTCTGTTTTCCCTGTTCAATAGAATGTAACAACTGTTTATTTTGTACACTGTGTTTTAGAAGCAGTTAAGGTTTATCAGGCCAAGTAGTTCACTTGTTGTGACTTTGGCTAAGCTAAGACTTTATGTTTGATACTCAGGGGGATAGTTTGGAATTGTATCTGTAGGAAATAACATCCCACACCGTTGTCTTTTACTATATAATTAATATATTGGAGAGAGGAAACCATATATCACCCACTCATAATAGCTAAGTTGTTATTAGAACAAGAAGGCCATTTGTTCTCACTCACGACCCGAGCTCAGCAAATTAAAATATTTTTATCACAAAACCACTTTATACCTCCACACTACACGGAGAGAGCTTAACCATTGCCGATTGTCAAATGTTAACTGTAGTGTCTATGTCATACACTGAAAACTAACACTTTTTAAACGGCCAAGATTTCTATTCACTGTCTTTAGACCATCCCAACTACCAAAAATAACTTTCGCAACACATAAGATGCATTACTCTTGCTAGATAGCACTGGAGTAGCAAACAGTTAAACAATTTAGAATGAGAACCAATCATATAAGCTATTCATTTTCGAAAATCAGGTAAGATCATAAACATTGTAGTTGGCAACAAACTCAGGGAAAATAATGAATGTTCTGACATCAGATTTATGTTAAAAAAACTGACAAGTAAAATAGAAGAAAGAATAAGTCCTCGAGAACTATGTTTACCATCGTCATATAGATCGTTTAGTTCGATAGCAGGTCAACAGCATTAGAAAAGCTGAGTTCAATTTTCACAAAACTAGTTTAAACGTTGCTAAATTAACAACCTTGTGAACTGTGTGACTTTGCGCGTTTTCAAATATTGCACTAGGTAGCGTTGGCTTGTTTTTCATACTGATAAACAATTGTGTCAATTGTTTTTAAAATTTTAAATGCCTATATTTAACTGCGAAACGTTGGCTCATGAGTGATAAGTAGTTTAATGACGTTGGAAATATTAAAATGAACGGGAACGCAGTGGTCAAATTCAGGTGTTTATACGTTAGTTACTTTTAATTAATGATTTTGAAATGTATTCAACCTTCACATTGTCTAATTCAAAGCCAATGATAAAATATACTCTTTCCATGTTTTTGTTTATGTATGGATATTTTCATTGTTGATTATAATCAAGTATACTTAATTTTGCTGCCATGATACCAGTCATACTACTATTTTTTTAAGTACTGAGTAATGGTAAAAACAAAAGATAATTTAAAAGACCGCTGTAACAACAGTCGAGATGCTTCACCAAGTCCTTATCTTTTCAAAAACTAACTGACTAGTTAGCTATATTATAAAATAAAAGCTGCGTCATTAACATTCAAGCCTTAAGTTATTCAAATAGAAGATAGCTAGTTTTGTTGCATATCTTTTCTAAGGCATGATGAAAAATTCTCAGGTTTCTAATAGACTTTCCTAGTAGTTTAGAAATTCAATCTAAAAATCGACACCAGTCTAACGAGTACCGTACCCACTAGTCTCAATCAGGATATGAGTTTGCGTCACTATCCGAAATTTCCTTATCACTACTCTCAAAATCTCTATGACCTTATAGCAAATAAGCTTTTGACGGCGACTTAACACTTGTTTTTGCACGCTTAATTAATATAGGTCGACAGACCTCCTATCCTTATTACTGAAGATTGAAGGTTTGATATCTGGTTTCGAATATTTAATAACCATTTCAGTCCGCAATCAGATTGATGGTGGGTTCATAGACCTGCGTTAATGTTTTCAGTACATAGTTGCATAGAGTTAGATTTTTCTACCAGGTATTCACTGAAGAGAGTAATGCCAGTTACTTCGCTCTAGTGTTCCAGACGTTGATTAATGGTTGGTAAGTACGGTTCCCCACCTTGAGTTCCTACAATCACGCTTTTTAACTTTGTTAAAATGGTTTCACATATGATTGATCCTAGAGGCAGAAAAAAATTGAGACATGTTAGCACTCAGTTCATTTAAGGTGCGAAACAACAACTTAAGATCACTTTACTTCCTGAAGAAAGGTGAAGAAATAGGGTTAGGTAGCTTAGTCACACTTTCATCAAAGAAATTAAAATGTCTAAATCTTGCTAGGACAAAATCTCTCAGTATTTTTTCCTTTATTTAACTGGCCTTTGGGTTATTTATTTTACTCACTGTTGACTAAAAGATATCTGTGGGGTTGATTATATGACAATGAAGCTTTTACGTTAACGAACTATAGTCTAAACCTGTGTCGACCGATGTGTATTGATATATCAGTCTTTTAGGATAGTGTCATGTCTTATAGCGTATAAACTACGTCACATATTTAAACGAGGGAAAAAAATTCGATTTCGATGCTCTTCAAGCCTTAAACGCAACACAAGTTAACCACTGTTGATAAATTGAAGCGGGACTTGAGATATAAAACATCACCGAACCGAGAGAAAAACAGTTTAACGATAGGAATCCTCATTGTATGCAAATAGTTGTCACTTTTTAACGGAGGAACAGTGATTCGTTTAATAACAGCTAAGGGTTTTTACTAAACTCTTACTTTGATTTATAGATTCTTTTTAGCTTTCTTGCGCTATCTTTACCTTAAAATGAGTTGAAATTCATCATTAACATGTATGTATTGTATAATATTCCCCCAGTTATTATTTTTTCTTGCTCAATATTCACTTGAAAAAAGTCTGTTCTGTACGATTTGTCTTATTTTATGCTACTATTTGAAAAATACCGTCCTGAAAATCATACTTCATCTAACTTTCTGAAAATTGATCCTCTTACATATATTCACTTATCAGCTTAGGACAAGTAGACGATATTTTCTTATTTAAAGGCGCTGACAAATCCCATCTTATAATCTCTTAGAGTAGTAATTCAGCCATGTTTGAGATGAGTTTTCATTCCTCTCAATGCATATTTTTGCACCATAAATGACCTTCACCATTTCTTAGTTTGATCGTAGGGTGTACAGTAGTTGAGTGCGTCAACCATATGTGGTGTGCAGTAGTCCGCTATGTATTACTTAACGGCTACGAAATACGGTTCATGGAAGCTAAAGACGTGTTGGCTTCTGTTTCATAACATTGGATTCTCTGAAGTATTGTTTGAGTATCATGAAACGACTGGGTGGTTAGGCATAAGATACTAGGGGAAGATGTAAAATCGGTCGATGAAGTAGTAAATCTTCATTAACTGAGGTGGACAGGACGCGTACTTTTTATGATTAACTGCCTACTTCAGCAGTTGATGCTCACTGGAGTGGGAGAAGGTTGAAAGAAAGCTAATGGTGTTGCGAAACCAAGACATTGAGTCGGTTTTATGTGAAGTTCTACGATGTGTAACTTACAAAACCATTCTTACTCATCGATTAACATGTTTAAACAGTATTTGAGATGTTATCCTTATCCATTAAAATAGTAAAGATAATTCCGATTCAGTCAGATGAAAAACTCCAGAAATACAAAATTAGGTAGTTTAAAGAAGAAAAATAGTTCTAATGTTTTAGCAGTGATTAACTATTAAACCTAAAATTGATAAAATAACAAATATTTATATCGGACTTTTTTTAATACCTTATAGTTTTAAAATGTTATTTCTGTTTCTTATATATACACTGATAATATTCACCCTTGGTTATTAAACTAGGAGTTTCGGTCAGTGATAGACCTGAATAATTTTCAAAAAAGTATGCAATAGGGACATTTTCATCTTTGTTTTAAATAGTTAAATAATTTTTGTGTTTTTCGTTTTTATTTATATTTCTAGTAGAATTTACTTTTTATCCTGATCAATGTGAAGGTGTAAGTTAAGCTACAAAGCTTCCTTCATCATCATCTTCTTAATCAGAATATTAATGTTTCTAAAGAAGTTTTCATTTCTATCAGTTAATCTTTCAAAGGGAAATCTCCGTTGAAAATTAATTTGTTCTAAACAACTGGTCTATTCATGACCTCAATTATTCAACCGTCAACACAATCCTCGTCTTTTTTATCGTTATCATTTGAACCACATGTCCGAAATAAAGTTTTACCATTATTGTCACCACAACAAATACACAGATCAAAGAATACTCGGCATGTTATCAATTGTAACCATTTGTGCCACAAATCTTCAGCGGATGGGAACTTATTGAATAATATGACACATCCACATGTAGTTAAACATCATTTGTCTTGTAAACCAGAGGCTACTCCGACTAATATTCCAAAGACATTGCTTTTATCTCCACCACTACCAATACGTCGTAGACCCTGTGATTCACTAACATCACATCGTTGTTCAAGAGGTTCAACTAGTCGATCATTATCTTCGGATCATTGTGAACGCAGTAAGTTATGTGAAACATAACAAATATTTAATAACAGGGGCAAAACGTTATTTTTATTTATAAATACTATTTAATATTTTAATTTGTAGTGGGATAATGGTTATTTAACTTTTAACCAATAAAAACTACTAATTCAGTCAGTCAGCTACAACGTAGGACCAGGCACATATATGCATCGGTCCAGGTTGCCATACCGCATTAGCACAGCAAGATGAACACCGGATTCATAAAAGTAGTTGATTCAGGTGGTAATATATAAAAGAAAGATTGCATATAAGGATACAGTACAGGAAGAAAGAATTAGTTCGTAGAAAGAAAGATATGAAGCGATTTTAATCTCTTAGTTTAAGGGAAGACAGAGAATGTATACACCGACGCCATTGTGATCGACTCTGAGCCATGTCACCAAGAGTCTCCAACCATCAGTTACGATAGTCACACGGACCCCAACCAAGCAATCTGCATCTACCAACATGGCTCAGACTAAAAGTTAGTGACTTCAAGCACTGATGCCACGTTTTGGTTCGGCCGCCCCTAACTTTCTTCCAACCATCGCCAATACCGGTTAGCATTGCACGACGTGGTAATCGGTGTTCAGGCATACGTAACACGTGGCCCAACCATCTCAGTCGATGAAGATTCACAACCTCATCAACTGATTTAGCATCGTTCCCTAATACCCTGCGTTTAACCTCACTATTACTTACCCCGTGGTCCCAGCAGACGTCAGCAATATTTCTAAGGCATCTGTGGTCAAATACTAGTAGCTTACGGATGTCTTCTACTCTTAAAGGCCGTGTTTTGCTGCCGTAAATTAAAACAGAACGGACTACCGCGCAGTATACACGTCCTTTTATTGATAGACGGATATCTCGCCTTCGCCATAGGTCACGTAAGTTGGCAAAAGCCAAGCGAGCTTTTCGAATCCGTGCTGAGATTTCGTCCGATACCAGCCCATTAGGGCTGATCAGACTTCCAAGATAAGTGAATTTGTCGACGCGTTCGACTACTTCACTCCCTATCCGTAGTTCAGGTGTTGACGCAGACCAGTCCTGAAGCAACAACATGCATTTACTAATTATAGATTATATATGTATATATAGTATTTCTAATATTTCCCCCTACCCAAAGATAGAGACAACATAAAATTTAACATTCAAAGCTACCCTGCTTCACGTTATCAGAAGGAGATGGAAATAAGAAATAAGAATAATAATGGTATAAAAATGACGGTACCAAGAATAGTAAAAGATAGAGGTATAGTAATATTTAGAATACGAAAATAAAAAATAATGACTGATCTGTGTGACTAACCGATTTTATTCCATATAAATTAATGTCATTTTAAGCTTCGCTTCAGTTACTTTAAACATTCTTGTTAGGTAGCTTGTACCTTCATGTATGGTTTGAACCTAACAGAGAAGAAACCGTTGCCGTCGCGAATAGAATTTAAGTAAAACAACATAGCTCATTGTAGTAGGAACTGACTAGATGAAAGCAACAAGTGCCTCACTCATTCTCAACGACTGACATCTATAACTTCAGTAACTGATTCCCAAATAGAAATTTCATTTGAATCAACTGTAATATGATTCGGAACTTTATATGAAGTGTAGAATGATTTTGTGATTTTTATAATTTAACAACAATAATCATATCTTAAAATTAAAAGATGACCTTGACCCGATCTATAATAATGTAGTATGTAACTCTCAACATAGACAAATTTAGGGAGTTTTACTTAAATCATTAATTATTTTTCTTATTCTGACATAACGGATTTTGTAACGACACTTAAATTCTTAATTGTTTTGAAATTGTTTCAATACAATAATTTGTGTAAACTGAAATTCACCGGATTATCGTATTGTTACTTCGCTTCGATTGGGACTCATTCATTGAAATATATTTCATCTCAATATTAAGTTATAAAATTAACAAAACACCGTTAAACTACATCTATTAATTCTATCTCTAATGCTTGAAAGCGTTCAGAATAGCGGAAATTTTACGGACGCTACTAAGATGTAGAGGGAAGGGATTATATATTTTTGTTTTTAGCAAAACAACAATATTTAAAATACCGAACGGCATTACATCCTTTTTTGAAATTTTCCTAATTACAATCTACTTCGTACGGATTGCTGTCAATGTTTTTTCATCCTGATGAGTTTTCTTCCAATTCCTTCCGTAAGTAAAAGTGACAAATAAATGTGTACCTCGTGTGTTTTGTGTGCGTATGAAAGAGAAAATAAAGTGAAAGGAAATCACCCGATGTCAAAAAATTTGGCACAGTGCCAAAATTTTCCCTTTTGTTGTTTTCGCTTTATCGTTAGACTTCATGTCCTAAATTAAATGGACCAATCAACTGTGACATAAATACTCTTTATTCATTGGCTAGTCTTGACTACTAGAAATTTTGTTGCTTTCATCTATCAATAAAGTAGGGAAACTAACAAGTCTTACAAAAAAATAGATAAATCAGCTGATGTAGTGTTTATTAAATTCGTTTTATTTTTTCTGCCTTCAAAAGGATTAATGGCATTTATTTGACTTTTTTAAGGATTGATTTTTCTACTTAGTATGATTAATCCATTGAATGAAGACGCTTAAAATAATCTGAAATATTTTGAATGGCTTAGGTGACAATGTTAACTTACGAGAAATGTATTAATCTCTGTCTCCGTAAATTCAAAGTATCATTGAACAAGAACATAAGTAAGTTAAAATGAAATCCCATAAAGTGACTTACCCTTCAAATAAGTTTTTAGAAGTCACTCTACACTTTCTTGAAACACTTAAAACTATCGGTAATCAGCCGAAGACATAAATGCTTAATCGGGATTAAAAATTAATATTAGGTAATGTGCTTGAAATGTTGACTGCTGTGTTATTAACTCCTGGTAGATTTCAGCTAAATTGCTTGTGGAACTTAAAAAACTATATAGCTGTTTGGTTTAGTGTTAGATTTATTTCTAATGATCCTGACTAAATTCCATTTGTAATGGTCTTTATAGAGCACTTGTCACTGGAGTCAATGATAAGCAACTTGTAATCCGACATAGATTTACATCAACCCGATTTTCCACACTCGATACTAATCTAGTGAGTGGAAATTAACAAAATTAAATGCATTTTAGTTAAAATAATACTAGCAAGCTCAGTAACCAATCCAACATCGGACGTAGAATTCCTAAAAAACAAATAAATAATAGGAATGAAAAGTGAAAAATACTATTAAATGTGAATATTCAGGGGAAAATGTAAAATGAAGGTATTTGAGCCACTGACAAAGATTGTAAATCATGTCACCTAAGGTCTCCAACCGTAGATTAGAGTCAATTCATAAACCTCCATTAAAAAGTCCATACTTCCCAACACTGCTCACAACGATGGTCAGTGACTCAGAGCTGATGTCATCCGTTGATCTGTCCTATTTTAGTATTTTTATCCTACTTACATATATGCTATATAGTATCGTATTTCTAGGAAAATGGTGATTGGGATTGCCGAAAATACTCCCCCTTCAATTTAATCACCATAGGACCATTAATTCATCCATCGGTTTACTTTTTCGACCTAATACCTTCAATAATCTCGCGCGTAAAGTTATGGGCATCTTGAGTAAGTAAACCTATGTAGGTTAGGAACATTTATCAGCTGAAGCACTTGAATGATGTAATATTCACACTATGACAGCGCGCATATATCCGTGTAAATTTTAAACGCTATGTATTTCCCTATTAATATAGTCCTGTTACATCCTTTTTGTTTATCTAAGTTATTTTTATACATTTTTTATTTCTTAAGAGATTTGATAACATGAATTGGTGCACTGTTGTGCATCATTATTTTTCACTGACATGCGTTTGAACCTTGGAAACTTAGTATATTTCAAGTTATACACTTTCCATCATCTGAAAGGAAACACGAATTACAATAGACAGCTTGAAATCAATTAGAAGATTTAGACTTGGCAGATGACCTGGCCTTTCCATCCTATACACATCGACAAATGCAGATGAAGACAACTAGTGTAGCATCAGCCTCTGCATCAGTAGGCCTCAACATACACAAGGGAAAAGCAAGATCCTCAAATGCAACGCGGAGAACATCAACCAAACCAATCACACTTGATAGAGAAGCTCTGGAAGAGGCGGAAAGTTCCAAGTACCTGGGTAGCATTGTCGATGAACATGTAGGATCTGATGCAGACCTAAAGGCAAGGGTCGGCACAGCGAGGGCCTCATTCCTACAATTGAAGAATATATGAAACTCAAAACAACTGTCAACCAATAGCAAAGTGGGAATCTTCAATACGAACGTCAAGGCAGTTCTACTGTATGGAGCTGAAACTTGGAGAACTACAACAACCACCATCAAGAAGGTACAAGTATTTATAAATAGCTGTCTACGCAAAATACTCAACATCCATTGGCCGGATACCATCAATAACAGCCTTTTGTGGGAGAGAACAAACTAATTTCGATCTGAAGAGGAAATTAGGAAGAGATGTTGGAAGTGGATAGGATATACATTGAGGAAATCACCAAACTGCATCACGAGGCGAATGCTAACTTGAAATCGTGAAGGGAAACGAAAAAGAGAAAGACTAAGGAACACATTGCATCGAGAATCGGAAGGAGACATCAAAATGATAAGTAGCAGCTGGAAACAAACGGAAAGGATTGTCCAGGACAGAACTGGATGGAGAACGCTTGTTGGCGATCCTTACTTCTCGACGAAGGGTAACAGGCGTAAGGAAAAAAAGTAAGTAGACCAAGATAGCCTTGTAATCGGAACCAGAAGTAGATGGTTTAACCCGCTACATGTACTTAATTTTATTGCTAAGTTTATCTTTTCGTCTCTGTTTTGTTGTTGCCTTTTGATTTTACTTCTAAAAAGCCTATAGTTTCATCAAAACAATAAAAATTACCCTGATAATAAATCCCATTTAATAATAATTTTAAGAAGCTAGGTTAATGGGCATTTTTTTCTCC